CGTCGTCGCAGCAAATTGCATTCCGACCATCCATTGGCGGACTTCAGCAGAGCTTCAGCCATCCTCACATCTCACTTCTTACAAGCCCATACCAATACCATCCTACCACTCAGCCGCCCCGCACAGCCCCGCTAATTAATGTGGGCGTGGCGGGCAAACAAAGTGCTAAATTTATCTGCTGGTTCCTCCTTTAACCAAATGATATGTGCTGTGTCCAAAAGACTCTGCCTCTGCAATTGGCTGCACTTGGAGAATTTCCAGATATCTTATGCTCACCCCTATCCGCATAAGAATCGTTTAGTTTAGTACTAGAAAGTGCTTCTTTTTCCAGTGTATTATGAGCAGTACTCCCCGGTTCAAGGGTCGAACTGAAGGCGTTTCTGCAACACGTGCCTCAACATTCGCAGTGCGTGGCAAATTGGGCGTGGAAAATGTGAAAGCGTCCGACTGAAGATCGGAATCTTGGGAAGCTTAGGCCAAATGATTTTGATAATGGCCACAAATGAGATGACAGACCATGAGCTGGCACAAATGGGAGGGGGTCAGGAAGCCACTCGGCAGGGGGATCGGGTTGGGATCGCGGTCCATCGGTCAGAGGCAGCGACAAATTATGGAACTGCTGTGCACGAATGTTCGGCTGCCAAAAGGCATTAAAACCCAATCAGAGGCGAGACAAGGGGGGAATGGGGTGCGTGGTGCCACCATCAAAGTCATCAGCTAATGAGACTTTGACTGCGCTTAGTTTTCGATTTGCCAGACAAGGCGGCATCGACCAAACACACAAAAAAAAAAAAGCACTATGACGGACCAACTGTCAACGCGTGTCAAGCGCGGAAGAAACCATTTGGACAGCACACCTCCATCTTCTTGGAGGCGGGGCGGAGTCGCTCAATTAAAGCTTCTTTGGGCCGCTGGCCTCCTCCTCCCGGCCCGAAAAGAAATCAATTAGTGCGAAATTAGCCAGGCGATGCCAGTCAGGGTCAGAACCGGACAAGCCCTCACCTCGCTTGGGAGTAAATCGGTTAGGTCTCGTTCAGTGGTCCATTGTGGCTTTGAGGCTTTTGATATGGGTCCGGCGATTTGTATCTAATGAATTTTTAAGCTGAAAATTATTAGACATTTGACTGCGACTCGCATTTGATTGCCATCAACGTTTGAGACAATGCAAATTAAAAGCTCGACTTTTAGATACCTAAATCAGTTCGTGGAGCTACAGGTCAGTACATGACAATGGTTATCACTTCGATATTATTTCACAATTAAAGAACATATTTCAATTATCTGCCAACCTGAGTTTTGGAAAAACTACATAGGAACACAGTATTATTACACCCCAGACCTTCAGACAAAGGCGAACATCATCATCACAGGCTATAACAACAATAGAGCAGCACAGTGATAAGTAAATCTTAAGTGGATTTGGCTTTTAAATGCCAGACACATGACGGCATCTCCCAGTCGACCGGTGGTGCTCTTCAAGTGGAATTATACCCAACTCCCCGATATTGCCGCCTAATTGCAGCAGCCACTGTTTTCCGACTTATCTGCCCCGGGGTGGAAAGCCCCCATCTCAAACTCCATGCTGCACTCGGGACTGCTCTTAGGATCGCATAAATCACAGTCGAGTGCATTTAATTAATTTGTGCCTAGTGGAAAAAGGAAAACAAATATATGTGAAATGAAAAGTTGGGGGGTGGAAAATTCGACAAAAATATGAGAAAAATACAAAATAAACTAGGAACACAATGGAAAAGTTGCGCATGCAGCTGCCACACACAGAAATTTGTTTTTATTTGCATCTGGTTGTTGTGCTGTGTTTTTCTAAATGGAAATTTGAAATTTTAGCCGCAGACGCTGTGGCAGGTGCCATTCTAACGGTTACTGCTCACTTTTTGTTTTCCATTTCCATTTGGTTCTGCTTCTTGTTCTTCGGTTTTTCGCCGCTTTTCTATTTGGCTGTTAGGTTGTTTGTTTGTTTGATTGTTTGCTTTCGCAATCTGTTCACGGTGGCTAGTTCGGATTTCCAATTATTGGATTTCAACGCCCCCTCAGCGCTGGAGTAGTAGCTCATTAGGCCAAATTGATCTGGCAGGGAAAATGGACTTCCCATTGCCCGTATTCAATATGCAAATTGATGGGGCCACTTAAATCGCATCTAATTGGCACTCCTTTTCCGCGAAGACAAAAGTCAATGCAATCGATTTCGCGGAAAGCACTTTCAAACGCCATCAAAGGAAGGGAAAGCGACAGAAATTCTAGGGAAATTCGCCAACTAGAGTAGGGCAGTTATTGATTCAAGGACTCGTTGGCGGTTGCAAGTCCGCTGCTCCTGTGCATATCAATAATTCCCATTAATTGCTCTGTCCATGCAAGCGTTTCCCTTCTACTTCTATCCCTCATCACCAAGCCATTTCCGTTTCCGGCGAAGGCTTTAGAGGGCTAGAGAGTGGGCGGACCACTTGCTGCACTTGGCTAATTCTGTGTTAATATTCAAATTTGGTTAACAAAGACGAGAAAATGCTAGGGGGTGGATCGGAGTTCAAGTTTTGTTCTGCAGCTCCATTTGTTGATGCAACATCGAGCGATTGCAGCATGGAATGCACGGGGGATGGAAATTTCTGTACATTTCCCAAACTTGCGCCACATGCACTCAGAATATTGTAAGATAAACATTTCGTAGTTATTGCAGTCTAGTTGTTATGTTAAAATGGAATTTCCATTTAGATAATTAAATTTAATGCCATTTTTTTGTGTAGATTAGGTCGATTCAATGGAGTTATGATAAATTGAAGCCTTGAAATTTAGATGCTTTTCTTGGCCAGCCCTGCTCCTAATTTTTTCCTGTGCACTAAGTGCCGACTGAAAGTGAACCAAAAGTGGAATAAAATCCAACGCAACTCCGAGGCGTTCTGCTTGGCTAGTTCCTGCAACAACAAAAGGTAAAATCGGCATGCGAGTGTGTCGGCCGAATACATTCATAAGCGGGCGAGTTTAACGAACTAGGCTTTGTTTTTTGGTCCACCCTACAATCGCACTCGCCAAACAAAACTTATTTGGCCCCTTTCCCCCACTTCATGCTCCTCTGCACACACACACACACACGCCCGAACACTCATGGAAGCGTTCTCCATTTTCACAATTTTACAATTTGCCAGGTCTTAACATTTTCATTCGTTTTCATTTGCAGATAAGTCATTTTTGGGATTTATACTTGGAATTGTAAATACCAATTTAATTGCCAACATTTTTAATTCGATTTGCTGTAAGCCTTCTCAGCACTCCGATGTCAAAGACATTGTAGCAACGGAATCAAATAAACAAATCAACAATTAAATTTGCCATTTTAGGCAGTTATTTGTTATTTGGGTCGAATGTCGTGCGAAATATGAAATAATTTTCGTCCTGCTACTTCCTTTGCAAAACGCTGATTGGATGTCAGCTCAAGGGGGTAACTAAAATACGGACGGTGGATGAGGAGAAAGCCTCTCTCTAACTTGCCGCCACATGTGCAAAAGATAAAACCCCCGATATTCGGGCGGCGCTGCAACATTTTTCTTATTTACGAGCCACGTAGCCATAAAAGGCGACATAAATTTCCTAGAACCGCTCCTTCTGCCACCCAAAAAAAAAATGTTAGGGATTTTTTCGTTGCCAAAATGCAGGCGGCAGTCGAAAGCCGTAAGGAATAAAGAAATTGATATAAATGCCAGGAAAAACTCGCACATCCCACAGGAATAAGAGATGGAGGTCCTCGAATAAGGATGGATCGCACACATTGCGTTGAAATTGCGCGAAATGTCGTCAAAGTTTGTCAAAATATTTAAATGAATGTCTGCTTGAAGCGCGGGCGTCATGACGATTCAATCTCTGCACCAGCCACTTGCGGGAATCACATTTTCCAAAGAGTCTTTAAGTTTTTCAAGACGCTTTTCCTAATGGCAAAACAATCTTCGATTATAACACCAACCATAGCACGCCTGCCACTCACGGCAATAACCATTAATAAAAATGTTTGGCTTTTAAAATTAAACGACTCCGGCCGCACGTGCCGCCAGTATTTTCGGGGAAGACAGAAACTTTGAGGCAATTTCATTTCAATTCCAAGTGTGGAATTTAAGCCCATTTGCATATCAAAACCGAGGGGAAAACTCTGCCGAGCGTGAGTCCTTTTTGCCGCGCAGCTGGCGACGATTGCGAATCGCCTTCTCGACGGAAAACAATTAGCGGAAAATTCTCACAACTTTGGCAGCGGAATTCGCGCCCAGCGATTCGACGTAATTGCAGATACTTTTCGGCATCCCAGAGGGGGGCTGTCCAAATATCATTAACATGAATTTATAAACAATCGCGGAGGGGCTTAATTAAATTTCCGCCTTTTCCAGCCAAAGGAGTAGAACTTCATTGCGGTATTCGAGCACTATGGCGATTATAATATATAAAGCATTCACAGAGCATAAATGTGTGCAAACTTTCGGCGAATGGCGATTTTTAAATAATTGTCCATAAATATAAGCGGACATAAAAAGGGCAACCGAGCGTTTAATCCGTTGTCGCATTTAATATATTGGCCATCCCGGCGAATGGCGAATAGCGAGTGGAGTAAGTAAAGCGAGCTCAGAATCCTTTGGCTCATAAAATGTCAAGGAAATTTTTATTGATGAGCCAAAGGCGAACGACGACGACAATGAAAACACAGCGCTTTCGCATCGCCGAGATTTTCTCGTCCTTGCTGGTCCTTTTCCACGTTTACTGGTAGTTGTAACTTTTTTCCCCGTTTTCGAGGACACGCCATAACCGATGGCCGGGAGTTGGGCACGATGCGAAAGTGTGTCAAAGTATATCCCGGCACCTCCACACACACACACACACATACACACTCATACATATGCACATAGCACTGGATACACTTGCTAATAGCAACGCCAACAAAACAAATCCACTGTCACGTGTATGCGAAAGACAACACACTCTTTTTGTTTACCATACATCTTTGGCTATACCTTTTTCAATATCCATGCGATTCCGCCGTAAATGCAACAATTCTCGGGCTGTTACTCGTTCACTGTCTGTTTCACTAGTCACTGTGTTCACCGGTCACTGTTTACTGGTCACTGGTAACTGGTTCCCTGCAGCGTACGAGTCGAGTCGCGTGAACGCAGCGCCAGACGTTCGATCCGCACGATGTCCCGAAATCTACTGAAACTTGGAACTGAAACTGGGGACTTTGATGACATGCATTTCAAAGACACGAAATGTTAGGCCTCGGTGTTCGCTAACAGAGCTGAGAAATGTTAGGCGACCGTTCGTGTCTGTGAGCCGAACGAATACGAACGACCTACGCCAACACGCTCAAACCTGTTGGCCGACTGAGTGTGCGGGCAACATGTTGTGTTTACGTTTTTTCAGTGGCTTTAACGGTTTGAGCGTGTTGCTGTCTTGCAGCAGCATGTTGCGCATCCCGGGCTTGGCAACAACTGCACTGGGAAACAAGAAAGACTACGGGTTACCCATCCTATTTCACCATATGTATGGTTTTACTTTTAGTATGTTTTTAATTGTCAAATGTTGCCAATGAATATTGCATAAACAACAAAATATACAAATTATGTACTTACTAATATAATCGCAAAAACGGAAGATGATTTTATTAAGATTAAATGTATTTATGTAAGCCGTATAAAAATAAATACATCAAGTTATATTTATTCTGCAGAAGCTGCATTATTCATAGCCAAATTCAAATAGAACTGAGATAAAAAATATTTGTGACAGAGACAAGGAAGCTCTGACACGGCAAAAACTAGGACAACATTGGTTCAGGAGAGGTGGTCATTGTGGGTGGACGCGTTATGCGGGGAGCTGTAACTTTTCTAATTGGCATTTTTCCGCAATGATTGCAGTTGAACACGCTGCGATAAAAGCTAATCGAATTATGCTTTTGGCAAATGCCACAACAGCTGCACGAAACCAGCAAAAACTAACAAACAATTATGGGTTCCTCGAACGGGGAATGGGGTAAATCAGAGCAGGAGACGGGTGGCTGGAACGGGTGGCTTATAACTCTGCTCCTCGCCTGCCATGTGCGGCGTCATGTCAACGCCCAGCCGAGCAGAGCGAGGAGCACAAGGAGACGCAGCGGTTTGGAGTTTCCGGCAAAAAGTTAGTGGGCAAAGGAAAGAGCCAAAAGGGATTTGTGTATGCGAAAAAATTTTACAAGCCATTAACAAAAATGTTGCGCCTCGGCATATGCCACATAAAATTCACTCAGCAGCAGCAGCAGCAGCAGTGGCAACAATGGAGGAGTCAGGCGCCTAAGTCAGGCGAACGCAGATGGAAAGCGAGTGGAACGGTCGGAAAATGAGGGGGATAACCACACTCCGAATACGCTAACCAGCTTATTTTAGCCCTACATCATCATGAGATGATTACGATTATAAAATTTACTTCAGTTTGAGAACATAAAAATTTGTCAATTGACTTTGATTACTTTACAAAAACACTTTCGAGAATCTCCCAAGTTAGCTTATTTTATTTTTATTTTCCTTTTGAAATCGCTCTTTTGAAGCCGTTGTGAAATGAAATGGCTGCAGAAACACTTTCCTTGTGGGCGGTTATGTATATGAATGGAGAAAACTCAATTATCCTTTGTGAGGGTATTGAAAAGAGCGAAAGAGAGAGAGCGAAAGGAGAAGGGACCAAAGCGAGTCGAATGCCAAAATGTGCAAGGGAAGCGATCTTGGCGCCACTGCGTCCATAGTGGGTGAAAGTCCGAGCAGTGGGTCGTGGCAGGTGGGTGCATTTGGGTGGTTCACATGGAGCAGGGAACAGCGAACGCCTGCCGGAAACCGGAAAAACAAACAAGAGAATGTTGTGGAAGGAAGAAAACACTAACAACAACAGAAAAACACATAAAAATAAAGCTGCGATACGAAAAGGCATGTAGGAAACAACAGAAGCGGGCAAAAAACAAAACGAAAACGGCAACGGCAACAAGCCAACAAAAATGGCTGGAAAACTCGCGCCTGTCGTGGAAAATGATAAATTTAAACGCAGTGACATGACAAATCGCCGCTCATTTGTATTAATCAGACAAAAAAGCGAAAAAAAGTGAAGGAATCGGGGAAATAGTGGCGAAAGCAGAGAAAGCAGAGAAATGGCGGACTAACCCTTTTGGCCCCTAACTGATGTTGCAATTATTGTTTTACGGCTTGCTTGGCTTAGCCTTCTTGCTGCAAGTGAAGCTTCCTTGGCTTCCTAAGTGAATTTTCGGGAAACGAGTGGCTGGCATTTGCATTGCACAACGTAATAATTTGAGCAGAAGTTAATTTTGCGAGAAATTAAAATTCCTTTTCGCAGTTGCAACTGCAGCCTGGCTCGTTAGGGGGCGGCAATCGGACATGGGAGGGAGTGTTTGGGCGGCCCGAGTGGCCAAGTTCATTATGTGGGCCAAAAGCATTTACTTCCGAGTGATTTATGCCCCGACTCGAGCCAGTGGATGCTGCCACAATGTCCGATTCCTTTGCAGTTGCTGCCTGCTCCTGTGTCCTGCGTCCATGTGCTGCTCCTGCTACTGGCACTCCATTCCATTTGCTCTTATCTGGCTGCTGTCAGCATGTGTCAATTTAATAAATAAACAAACAAGAACAATGATAAAACGTCTGGGCGGCAAGTGTGCTGGAGAGGGAGAACGGCACAAAGATATGTGGAGGAGTTCTCTGAGTGACTTCAAAAATGAAATGAAATAATTCCAAAAACATGAACTGAAAACGGAAACGGAAACGGGCAAGTGTCAAATGAAGAAACATGCCCCGGACAAAAGGACTTACCCACACTCGCACACAAAAAGAAAATGATGGAGAGAACGCACACAAATGCGAGAAGAAATAATACTAAAAGCCAGTATGTATCGACTATTAGATACCAGTAACCAGTATGTATGCATATTGTTAGAGGGCGTGGGCGAGGGTGTGGGTGTGGCTTGGACGCGACTTTCTACCAATTACAATTGACATTCAAAGCTGTAGCTTCGTGTACTTTGCTCAACTTTGCCAACTCTTGATTATTGCTGCAGAAATTTCAGCTAAAAGAATCTATGGTTTTTTTTCAGTGGAAGCACAAGTAATATTTGTGATTAATTTGGTTTTCCTGGTTGGTTTTTTTCCCCCATATTTTCGTACGTCTGGTCAGTGCGTGCAGCAAAATATTACGCAAACGAAACCAGCAGGAGCGACAGGCAGCGGATCAGGATTTTTGGGCAACGTGGACGTCATCAACATGGTCCGTCGAACGTGAGCTGTCAACAACTTCTGTGTGCCAGCGATGGGGTGGCCATTGTTGTTGCTGTTTCTCTGGCAGACTTCACGAAGTCATCAGTCGCAGTCACCGCCCACCGCCCACCGAATGCCACCCACTACCCTCTTTCCGCCCTGTGTTGACTTTTGCTCGAGTGACGAAATTAAATCGATGCCCAGCAAATGTCAATGCAGCTGGCGAAAAGTGCTTAAAGCCGAAGCAACTTGGAAAATAGCCCGAAAATTAAATCCCTGAACAAGTTTGCGATAAATTTGCTTACGCTGGCAACTTAATGGCGAGTTTGTCGAGGAGCTTGCAATTTTTTTGCGGGACCGCAAACGGCAGCCGGAAACCAGAGAACTAAAAGTCAACAGAAAGCCATAAGTAGCCAGTGCCAAGAAGTACGCAAAAGCTTAGCAGCAAATCACTGAACAGTGTGAAAAGCGAGTGAGACAGACAGTTGTGGCTGCTGGAAAGGATTTCCCAACAACAACTGCCAGTGCCAGGCGACCAGGCTAAGACAAGATTTTGCAGTTGTCTAATAAAGCTTAGTGCCAAATCCCAGAATTCAAATGAAACTAAGTCGAAGAATGGAGTCTTAATTGTAGCCCTTGTCTGCTGACTCACTTGAAAAAAGGAGCACTGGACAAACTTAAAGACATTTCAAGCTGTTCAGCTGCAAGTGAGTTAAGCGAATGTCCTGCTTCATTAGTCGCCCAGTGACCCGCATTTTATTTGGGCCCACTCATGCCAAGGCCGTTGAAAAAATCACCAGGTGTCAACTTCAGATGGAATAGCATTAGTAGATAATTTCCCTCATTTGACAGAAACCAGATAACATTTGCATGTACTCTTTTTAGCTCCCAACAAATACCCATATTATAATTCATCGTACTCTATTTTAAGTTTATAAATTCAGTGAAACATATTAAGCAGCTTGATGAGTAACAAAATACATTTCCTCTAATTTACTTTGAATTAAATGTAAACCTCTTTCCTTTCCCCATCCTTAAACACGCCGCTTTCTGCCTGTTGTCCTTTAAATGTGTTCGTGCACGGCGCAGAGGCGCAAAGCGGGTCCTGCCACGCCCCCCAGCCCCTACCCCTTCTTCTCCGCCCCCTTGTGACCACTTGTAAGCGCACCTGAGCGGCAGGCCAGCCGACAAGCGTCGACTGCCATTTAAATTGTGCACGCCGCAGAATGAGAAAAAAGTTTCAAATACTTCTCGCCACATGTGGACACTTGTGGGGAGTGCAAAAGGTGAAGGGGGAGCGGAGTGGGGCTGGGGCTGGGGCATGCACCAACACAAGTGCCGCGGCGGAGTGCAACGACTTCTGCCGCTGTGACAGTCCAAAACAATTTGGGGATGAATTAATTTCAGCCAGTGCCCTGCTGAATGCAACACTTTTCAACGTTTTTTACTTTGCACTTGCGCATGTGTATGTGTGTGTTTGCCAGTGTGTGGACTGTCTAAAGTGAATTTACCATCAGCCTAATCTCAGACGGGCTAGATGCCCTGCCCCCACCTGTTCATCCCCTTTCACGTGAGCCAACTCTCGTGGGGCCAACGAACGACTTCATCGCACTTAGTTAAATGAGAAAGGGCAACAAATGAGCAAAAATGTTCGCGCTTCCTGTTGTGCAGCACGTGTGTGTGTGTGGGTAACAGTGTGGGTGAGGGGTGCATTGGTGTGGGTGTGGGGCCGACAGTGGAGCTCCTCTGCCCGGCAGGTGGAAAGCACTTAAAAGCATCAGGCTGCATCTCAGTGCTGTTCAGAATTCTGCAAAACATCTGAAATAGATCTATTGCTAAGGGGCCCTAAATGATAAATAAAATTCTAAATTTGAATGCAGATTTGTAGAGAATTGCACCAGAAACATTTAGAGGTATGCCACTTCAAAATCCGATTAAGATAAGTTGAGTTATG